GATTAATGGCACAGGACAGTCAGGTTACAAAAACCATGTTCTTTTCACTTGTTTCCATATGTTCATACCAAAATATGTACTTACCAGAACAAAACTGCTGGGCTGAGATCTTACTTTGTTCTATGTATCATACGGAGTTATTCTAAACATTGGTTTCATTTGAAGTTCACAGAAAATACATGGTTAGACCAAATCTGAATGATGGCAAGATGAGAAACAGATCCAGTTTACTACATTTCCTTGTAATTTTCTGTTGATAAACAAACTTTGGGAGAGAAATCTTGGATTCAATAACTTTGAGAGAAACCTCTAATCTATATCAAAATTTAAAGTTAACATTCAATTATTTGATTTGGAATATGTATATTAGATATTTAATAGCTATACATTTATAAATGTCAGTAATCCAAAATCATATTGTTTTTATGTCATTTTTACTTTCTCTAAGACATATAACATTAATGGCTAATAGAGCTGAAAATTTTCCCCATAATACAATGTCCACACAATTCCTTTTTTTTCCCCTGTGCTGGAGGCCAAACTCAGGACCTTGTGCTTGTAAGGTGGGTGCATCACCACTGAGCTAAATTAAATCCCCGGTCCTCATAATTCTATTTAACAAAAGAATAATCTCCCTTTCTCACCACACTTATGCATAGTTGAACTTGCAGATACACAGGGCTGATTTAAGGGACTTGAGCATCTGATTTTTTTTATCTATGATGGGTCTGGGATCAGGACAACCGATATTTTGGATATATTTAGTTTAAAACTCATAATTAAATTAATTTTATTAACTTATTTTTACAGTTTTACGGTGGCTCCTAGGAACCTTAGAATACGTGGTTTCCAGTATATTTTATGTTGTGCTTTGCTGACCTAGACCAATTCTATGAGGATCATAAACAAGTATGAAAGTATTAGAGCCTTTGCAGAAAAACATTATTTTTCAGTAACACCAATTACATATTCATTTAGTTAAAAACTTTACATTGACTTACCTGTTCACTACCAGCATATGAGTAAAGCCTGCACAAAGAAATCAAGGACCTGAAAGTGATTTCTCATCTCTGTTCTCATAATATAAAAGTATTTCTAACAACACTTCCTAAAATGTAACGATGCTATACAGGTTCTATTCTCTTAGTAATGATAAATATGTCATGAAATACAAGAGAAGCTTTTCATGTTGCATTATTAATTAATTGGTTCTCTTTTCTGATAAGCTTCATGGAGAGGATCTTTCTGTAGCACTGTGGCTAGTTCTTGGCCTAAACCAATGATGACTATAAGTAGTAGAGATGCTCTTGCTCACTCTAACCTCCCAATTCAGAGTAGACATTACCAGTTGTGCTTCTTTTTCATGCTTCATGAACACTTCCTTACTGAGTTCTCATCAGACCCCATGAGTCTTCGTAGAGGTGGTCAGTCATTCCAGATCTACTAAAGAAAGGTCTTGAAAGGTATTTACTCTTTTATCCTCCAGTGCTGCCAAGAATATGTTATACATTGGAAGTCACAAGAAAAGTTTTAGTTTTTTTTATTTTTTTCAGCTTTAATTGAGTTTATTGGTACATTTTAGGGATACAGTACAGTTACATTCATTGTTGGGATCTTGTACCTCTACATGACAGGTCTTGGTTCTCATTTTTTCCCCTTGTCCCTGCCCTCCCTTCACCCCCTCCTCCCCTCCCCATCTACAAACACTTTATTTTCATCTTTTCATTATCTCACATTTTTTTCTTTTCCCTTTTTACTCTTCCCCTACCCATCCCACCTTCCCTACACCTTTAGCTCCTTTCTTCCCATTTCTAAATGTCAGTAATCTTATTAGGATCTTATGTATTATTGCAGATTATTTAGTTTGTTATTTGATATCAATAAAATTCTAGTTTCTGGGAATGGTAAATGAAATGCATACTTGGAAGGGAAGGGTGTATCACTGTTAGAAGGCACCACACAAAGTAAGTGTTGATCACAGGGTTTTTTTTTTAGAAGTTATAACTTCACAAGATTTAACATCATCCAAATATTTTGTATTCACTTATGCCACTCATTACTACTATTCATATACTGTGTCTTAGATTAAAACTGGATTTATGATAGAATACTCTCCCATTACAAGAACCCATTTATACCACAGCACAAATCACATCATTTGAAAAGCCTAGCAACTGTACATAAAACTTGATATGACATAGGCTACACAATACAGGTGCTCATTTTCTTACCACCTGTAACATAAAGGATTTCAACTTGGCTTTGAAATGGTATCTGCTTATTGTTCATGTATAATATACTTTTCTAAAACATTTTAATCCCCATCTGGAATCTTCCACCACATTATTTTTAACTGAAATATATTCTTCCTTCCTTTCTTCAAAGATGAAAAGCTCAAAACTAACTTCCACAAATGTTGGTATATTATCTCTTTTGCATCTAACTGAGGCAAAATAACAATGCCTATAAAAAATGTTTTTCCTTTTGTTTGCATCTTCTTCTTTCAAATTTGAGAGACATATCTACAACTAACTTCTGTACACAGCAAGAAAGCAGTATCTATACCTCATAATATTTTCAATGCTTTGCAAGGCACCAAATAAGATCTCTCACAATGAACTATGTGCACAAAGATGTTGGCAGTAGAGTTGACCCTTGGGAAAGGGCTATCTCCACAAGCCAATGTAGTGAACTTTGATATCAAAACATTCTTGCTTCCTAGGTTTTCTGTGGTTAGTGATTCACTTTACCATTCTTACTAAAAGTGACTGGCAATAATTCTTTGTTACAGCACGGGGCAGGGGAACATAGGAGGGTGAGAACTGAGTTAGAAAGGGGGTAGAGAGAGAACACAGGAGCAGCACAAAACAGAAAGTTACTCCAGGCTCTGAATTTGAATGGCACCATTGCCTGTGTCCATCACAGTTAATATAAAATCTAATGTTAACTAAATGACAACTTAGGCTCCTATTTTTACCTGTCTGAATCTTAAAGACAAGTGTTTACTGAAACATTTCCTATAAGAAATTGGAAGAAAAATATTTATTGGTTCAAGTATCTTTATGTTTTATTAAATTTTCAAAATTTCAATTTACTTTTTTTTTCAGCTGTAATTGAGTTTATTGGTACATTTTAGGTACAGTTTGGTACAGTTACATTCATTGTTGCGATCTTGTACCTCTACATGACAGGTCTTGGTTCTCATTTTTTCCCCTTGTCCCTGCCCTCCCTTCACCCCCTCCTCCCCTCCCCATCTATAAACAATTTATTTCCTTCTTTTCATTATCACACTTTTTTCTTTTCCTTTATTACCCTTCCCCTACCCATCCCACCTTCCCTACACCTTTAGCCCCTTCTTCCCATTTCACAATGTCAGTAATCTTATTAGGATCTTATGTATAATTGCAGGTTATTCACACCAGAGAAACTATTTGATATTTACACATGTGTGACTTATTTATTTCACTTAGGAGTATATCTTCAATATGTATCCATTTTCCTATGAATGAATCTATTTTCTCGTTCTTTATGGCTGAGTAATATTCCATTTTACTTTACTTTTTTTGTCATAAACTAGGACTACAAAATGATAGGTTTGAGCATGTAAGATTTTTTAAAATGAGCTTTTTAAGGCTAAAAACAATAAAGAAAACTACAATTTACTACCATATTTAGGAAACAGCTTTATTGACATTTACATCAATCAAATTTGGGAGCACCAACACCAATCATTTCACTCACGATTAATATTATGAAACAATTTCACAAATTAGTGAATGGGAAAACTACAGATTATTTTTAGACCCTATAACAGTTTAATCTTAAGCATCTCACTTCTAATACTGGACTTTCCACTTCATTGATTTGAGTATATTAACCATAAAACCCTATCAATATCAGCTTGAATGTGGTTTTAAGCTGAAATAAAATATTTTCCATCATTACATTATGTTGATTTGTGGGTGCTGTTAGTGAAAGGATGACATAACAGCATGTTTGCAAAACAGGTACATGTGCAGCTCAATTTGTAGGCTGCAACGTATGGATCTACACTTCTGTAGACTGACAGCCCAATGCTCATTAACGTTTCTATCTCTATCAAATTAAGAGAGATTTGTAGGTTTGAAAAGGAACTGGACTCCAAAAGCAGATGGGGAACACAAACCAAATAAATGCAGCTCTAAATCTGTTGAGTCATCTTTGGTTGAAAGATTTCATTAAATAGTAGGAAATGCAAAAGGATCCTGTTTCACAGAAACACAGGTATAGAAAGTCACTGGAGAACTATGAATTTAGCTTTGGGAGAAAAGTTCCAGAAATGGGGGACTAACAGATCCTCTGAGTGCTGTTACATGTATCAATTCGTAAATCATGTCCAATAAGACAGAACAGAAAATTAACTTCAAAATAGTTAAGATTTTATAGAAACTGGTTTGTGATTTGCTAAAATATTACACAATCATAAATTTTAGCTTTGAGTATATTTTAAAATAATAAGTTGGAAGCAACTTAACAAAAAACAAATGACAGTAAGTATATTTTGAGATAGTATTATAATATTAATGAACCAGAATTAATATTACATATTATAATTGGCAGGAATAATATACAATGTCTGAATGAAACTTACATGTAAATATTGCATTAATTACATAAATATTTAAATTTACATTTTATTTTGACTTAAACTATAAATTTTTCTATAATTCACTAAGATACCTTAAAATTTTAAAAAGAGGCCATTTTTGTTATGTATTTTGAATTACCTCATGCACTATTTCATTTTTAAAATACCCATTTATAACAATCTGGTTGTGTCAAGGTTATTAATATATTAATTATTCAATATTTATTAATACTACACTAAACACCAATGAAATAGTTATATTCTCTTATAGGTGTATAGCATTAAAAAGTAAAAGTGGTAACAAAAACCACCTTGAATATATGTATCAAAAAATTTTAAGCAAAAGAAGAAACTGCATATACAAATTCCAATGCAGTATTCAAGAATGAGTTTTCTGGAGGTGATTCCACATGAACACAGGAAGAATTGCAAACTTTGTTTTATAGCTGGGATAGAAGATAACGGCACCAGAAAAGCAGAATTGTGAAATATGTATAATAAAACAAATTAAATGCAGTACTCTAAAACCTTGTATCCAATTGGTAACATGACCAGATATCCACAGAGTTCTTTTAAATAAACTGTTTGCCATATGTTTTGAATGCTGAAGTTTGCAGAACTAGTTGGAATTTTTTGCCTTCTTTTTTCCACTTCCCCATCCACCACTGAGCTGTAGAGGATTGTCACGGAATGATATGCGCTCTTTTTTAGAAGTTCTTGTATTTGTTATCATTGGTGCAAGTATTCCCTTAATTGAGCAACCTAGACAAGGATATTAAATGTATACTTTCACTTAACATGATCCAAGAAAAAATATATTTTAGAGTAAGAAATATACTTAACAACACACATTCAAAAACTGTGATCTTCAAGTTTTACAAAACTTTTTGTTAAGTTTATTTTTGTTTGCAATGTAATATAATCAAAGATTGGCATAAACTGTGTCTAGGTTAAATAAGAGAAACTGCAAAAAAATATTAAATACATGTAACAGCTTCTTTCTATCTACAGATGCATATGTCTTTATTTCAAGACTGTGAAATAATGAAATATTTATATATGTAAATAGATACTTTAATTTCAATACTTTAAAATTTTATAATTGTTTATATTTTATGAATAAAGCATGTATTAAAATTTATCTTAAAGGAGTCCTATAAATTATTGAATTGAGGTCTTCTCCAGAAAAGAACAATTCTTTTAGATCAACAGTCTCAGGAGATCCATGGGATCTGTTCTGACTGCATCGAACACCAGTTTCACCGTCTTTCAGAACCTTTGCTTTGTAGTCAAAGGAAATAATAAGTGCATTAGAGGGTTGTGAAGATTGATTTTCTGATTATATTCCAGTGGTTGTAAGACGTGAGGATGCTTTGTACACAGGTGCTCTAAAATGGCAGAAATTACTGTTTACATCGGACAAGTTAGAAATTATCCATAGAAAAAAAACAAAAATGGTAAAAGGTCTATAACAAATAGCAGTTGTCAAAGTGGGTTATGGGTTAGACATGTCCTGGATTCAGCAAGACCCTGAGATGCCATATCAAGATAATATTAAAGAATTATGATCATCTGCTTTAAATCTCCAAGGGATTAAGAGAGCACACAGAGCTGTATGTGCAGGGAAAGGGTTTGAAAAGTGGCAGAGTGAGACATTCCAGGGCTTCCTTGGAACTAGCTTGAGGCAAAGGTTCAAACCACATGACTCTCTATTACGATGCCTTTGTGTTTTATTTAAATAAATTTAGACAACAAAAAAGTTTTAAGGTTAATCCTTTTTCATCTAAAATTTTAAATACTTAAAAATATATGCACAAATATAAGAGTTAACAAACATTAGACCATTTGTGGAAAGTGGTCTGTAACTGAACACAGATTATAAAAGTTCTTTTTATATTTAAAATCTCTTTTCAAAGTATGATCAGGAAAACCAAAGAAAGGAGTTAATGAAATTTTACAATGGCAGTATATTTTGCCTCTAGCCTAGAAAGAGACAATTACTGAAAAGCAGAGAAAGAAGTTACAAGCTATTGTTTTTAGGAAAGGGTATAGGGGATATATAAAGAGGCCATTGCCCAAGTCTGCAACTGAGTTGAAGACAGAATATAGTTCAGTAGTTTAGGAACCTTCACTATTGGCAACCCTGAAGGTAATCTCAGAGAGACTGGCAGCTGAGAGAAATGACAGCTGAAGTTGATTTCCACGTTTACTCCAGATTTATCCCGCATTAAGCTACTCTCTGTAAATCAGGCAGGGAAACTAGAAAATTGCAAGAACTCTTTCAAGCAACAGGAATATGACTGAGCAAGCGGAATTTCCTGGATGATGAACTACTGATCTAAAAAGCAGTAAGGACGCTCTCTAAAAGCTTATCGTCCCTTCTACCTTCTAGTTACATACTGGAAATGCCTTTTTAATAAAACAAATAACAGAATGGAATGGACTTTGGTACTTTAAGAAACAAAAACAAAACAGTAACTAAAAGCAAACCCTCATCCCCTCCCAATTGTTAGAATTCTTTGATGAATGCACTCATTCCTGGACAGTAAGTACCCATTTACATGAACACAGTCCTAAGGATGCTGGGGGTGGGGGCTTTGGTGTTGAGTGGGATGGAAAGTAGGGTGTCTGAGAGATAGAGCAACCGGGATACCTCTAAAATTCAAATATATTTATTTAAACTGAAAATAGACTGATAAAAGAGGAAGCAGATTTTCACAAATGGCTAACACAAATGTTTTGTTCTTATAGAGGATTTCCTTGCAAGCATTATTTAAGGTAAGAAGTAGAAATATGTACTTTAAAACAGTTCAATAATATAACTCATTGATTGATAATATTTTGATGAAACTATCTTAGTGAGGAGGGGTATTATTTAAGGGTTTTATTTTTTTACTTCTTTAATTTATTGGTACATTTTAGGTATACAACATGCTGACATTCATTATTGGGAATTTGTTGCTTTACACGATATATCTTGTTTCTTATTTTTCCCCAATTCCTCTGCCTTTGTATATTGTAATTTGTTCAGCAAATTATAATTGCAATTTTTAAAACATTGTATGATTCCAAAAGACAGCTTTTTGGCCATTTTGAAGTTTAGCTTCAGAGAGATGAGATATGAAATTACTCTTTAAGATAGCAAATAAGCGAATATAAAGTGTTTTTGCTAAGACAACATTTTAAGTATGATTAAAAGCTTGAATTTGACTGTTTTGCTATGTGTAAATGAACAATTTGAGCAATAATCAATATAGCTTATTCTCTCATTGCATTTAGTGAGAGTCTTTTTGTTATTATATACACTCAAATCTCTCGATATATGGAAAATAAATTGAGGAGTAAACTAACACATCTATGAAGGAATCACATATTGGCATTTTTTTTTTGCAGTCATTACTTTGTCCTATGATTACTCTAGAAATGAAAAAAAGAAAATAAAAAGCAATTTAAGAAGTCAATGTATAATCATTCTAAAATTACTTACCCACATGAACATAAAGTAACAAGGGATTTTTGCTTCAAAAACTGATTTTTGATTTATACCTAGTGATAGGCTTCTGAAACAGAAAAATTGTGACTAACACAACTTCATCAGTTTTTCCCTTCTCTGCAAGATTATCATTATAGATATTTTTAAAAACAGCCTAGTGCCTATTTTCAGGTCATCAGAGAAATAAACCAATCAGCATCTCCTACACATGCTAAAGTATGTCTTAATGAGTATGCTTTGTTTTCCAAGAGAGCACATCTTTGCCACACAATCTGTGTTCTGCTCAAGATTTGTTCTGGTTCCTCAAACAAAACAAAACAAAAAAGTTGTTGGTGTTTTGTTGTTGTTGTTAAATCCTTGGTTCTTTAACAAATGTCAAGGTCTATATGTGCTGTGTTTTGATAAGTAATTTAATATGTAAAATACTTTGAGTGACTCTCCTGGTATGTATAAAAAAACTGTTAAACAGGTCAAAATAGAAATCTCACAATGTATAGTAATACGTCATTGGATTTTCATCAATATACTCAGCACTATGTGTCTGGATGTAGAAACTATTTCAAAGGCTTCCCCATATTGTCTTACTTAACAGCAGATACAGAAGAAGTAAAGCATGGAGAAAAAAAAATTCAGCATTTTAATGAAAGTGACCAGAACAAATTTTTAGCAGCAAAGCGTTTACATCAATTTAAGTGCCATGAACTAGTTACATTGGGCAAGTTTGGAATTGCGATAGACAGTACAGTATTCAAAGTCATTTTTTAAAACCAATGCTATATTTAGCCTTGAATTAGAATAATCATTTACAGTTAAATTAAAATAGATAATTTAAAATCAAATTCTGAAAATAAAAAATAAATAAGACCCAGTTTGTTTATACCATGTTTGGATTTCCTTAATGTAATTCTGTTTATTCTTGATATTCTTAGGAATTTTCAGAGAATGAAAGTTTTCTATAAGTTATAAGAAATAATAATATAATTTTATCTCAAAATTCCAATTGAACAGTGATAATTACAATCCTTTTTCTTAGTGTTCAAGAAACAAATAAGTGAAGAAAATAAGTTTAGTACATTTATCAAGAATGGTCACAAAAATGTTCAAAGTACTTAATGTCAATGTTAATAACTTTATTTTTTATTTAATCAAAAATTTCTGTTTTTTTAAGCCAACATGTATAACATAAACAATTTGCCTTGACTACATACATTTGCTTTGAAAAACATTTCTTATGAGCACAAAAGCTAATAATACATGTCACATAGATTTAGGAATATTATTTTGGTAGATATGTATTATATAGATTTTCACACACATTTTGCCTTTTTCACTTTTTATATTAGTTACCATACATATTTAATCTACACTCTTTGAGGCCACCTTATAACATAAACTGTTTTTCTAGCTTTTCTTAATTTTTGATTAGTTCTTAAAGATACCTCATGGCCCTATCTGCACAGATTTGGACAGTACGATGTGGTCCCAAAAACGTATAATGAAACTAGTCTTGCTCATATAAATTCTGTGGCTTTTATACTAGATCGCCCAACATTGTTTTGATTTTATCCCTAAAGGATTTTTTGGTAAGATTTGTTTTTGGTTATAAAGTCTAAATATATTTTGTGATTTGTTTCAGAACTAAATTGCCCTTCCCACATCTGGCCTTTAGGTTAACTAAAATCCTTTTTTTCACTGATCGCTAATCTATATAACTCCAATTGTGGTAGATTTATGATTTATTACTGATTCAGGATATTCTTACTTGGTAGATTCTTAGAAACTTGTAAGTTGATTGGGTACTCAAAAATGTGACTCATTTAAGGAAGGAATAAAATTTAACAATCAACAAACTGCTTATGTCATTTATTTTTCTATTGCACACAATTGGTTCTAAAACACATTCTAAAAATCAGGTCATATTAGTTCCATTTATCTTATAAATTGGGAAAGGTCTGTTACTAAACTCTCCAATTTTTTTTTTAAAGTTCTAAATAGAGTTCTATTTAGTTCCATTGTACTTACAGCAACGTTTCCAAAAGTATTTGTAATGGAAAAATAGTAAAAATAATTGAAAGTACTTCTTACGCTATGGTCGATATGCTAGTTCTCATATCATATTACATTCCAACATCTAATTATCTTCTCTCACTTCTTACATGTTTGCTGAAGTTTTAGGAAAAACACATATTTTAGATAAATTTTGCAATGCTTATTACATCCTTTACAATGTGAATATTTAAAACCCAAAATGAATTTTCAATATCACTTG